TTTCTACTTATTTCTGAACGAACTCTGAAGAATCTATGCGTAAACTCTGAATAGACGAGAAACTGTTGAATGAAGTGACTGTAATTCGTAATGCGAAAATTTAATGGCATTCTATAATGATTTTATTCTAGTGTAAAATTTATTATGAAATGTCACCTAGGCCTTTGCTGGGGGGGGAAGGTCGATAACCGGAACTGCTGGTCACGAGTTGCTTTTGGTTGCATGCTGTGAGGTGTCTGCGTTCTCTTGCGTTTCGTTGCGTTGGTTCAGCTGTTGGAGATTTCTTCAGTGTAATAGGAGTGGATTTTATAATCATGATTCTTAAGATAGTACTGTCCGTTGTTTTTGCCTGTCTGTTTGCCTTTCAAAGTGGTAAGACTACAATTATGAAAATTTGTATTCTTCATAATAAATTGAAAATGAAAGTCAGAGTACAAAGTTTAATGCTCTGACCAGTCAGTCACTATCACTTGCGGAATGACAGATTGAAAAAAGATGTGCATCACGAAAGTTGGTTTCTGTAATGTATGAAGTTTCTTTAGCACATTCGTATAGTATAAGTTTTACTTAATGTTACATTTCGTACAGAGAAGGCTGCTGATAGTATTTAGTCATGTCACTGTAGGAGGAAGATATTGTGAAAAACCCATAACGGTCACACTTAAACGTCTTTCTGGTTAAGCGATTATAATCAGATTCATTGTAGTATTGTTCTTTTTCAAATGATCATTCTTATCTACGTAAATATGACACTTTTGTTATAGACATAATTATAGAACACAGGCGTCGACCAAATGTTGCAAATTGAACCAGCTGTTTATGTTATCTACTTAGGTTTTAACCTGAAATATTTTGTAACGGAGTATTTTGTTACTGTTAATTAAACTTAAAATTGAAGATGGCTGTCTTCTGAGTTATTGTGTCATGTATATGGTAGAAGTTTACCAACGTTTCAGAGGTCCTGACCCTGATGATGGAGGCAGCCAGGACCTCTGAAACGTTGCTAAACTTCTACCAGACTACATGGTGCAACAACCCAGAAGATAGCCTACTTAAACTTGAAATTGTGAGAGAGGTTAGAGAACAGGATCTTTGGTAATATTTAAGAGAAAACGTGAGTAACAGAGGCTGGTTTCTTAATTTGGAGTCTTAATTTGTTTTGCTTCCATATTCAGCAGTGTTTCAAGTTTTCTAAAAATCTGCTACACAACAAAAAACTTCATTTGAAATGAATAAGGTTTGAGACATTCACATGATTGAATGCAATGAATGTGGATATAGCCACTGAAACTGTATAATTAGTTGTCTGATTGATCAAGAAGTCTCATTGTTAACTTAAGATAATTGGTAGTAGAGTTTGCATACTGACATACTCAGGTAAGTAACTCAGTGTTGAAAGTTGCCAATGCATGCGGCCTGATGTCCCATACATATTGTGCTGCTATCTGTCCACATGTCTTGAAACTGCTCAAGAATGATCTGGCAGCCAGATCAAAATTGACTTCTTTGTATACCCACTGCTCATATGAGGTACTGCAATATCAGATTGTGGTAATTATCTTTCTTTGTACAAGCATGTAACCCTTTGTAGAAATGAATAAGTTGTAAGCAAGAAATCATAATTTTTGGAAAGTTGAGGAGCATGGTGATGATCTCCATTTCCATTTTCTTTGAACTGATCAAAATTTGAGATGTCACTACTCTTTCCTCTATAACTTATATTATGGGCATCTACACATCTTTTCTGTTCTGTGATTTGGATATACAGTGTTAGCTGCTTCAAGCCATGTGTCGAGGCTTGTGTTCACTTCATAATAATCCCATTAGAAATACTAAAAGTCTGTATTACTGCAGATCCTTTAACTAGAACCATAATTTCTTGGTCTGTGTTAACACATGCAAATTAATAATGCCCTGTTGTACAACTTTCAGGCAATCCACAACCATTACATTTAAAGTTAACAACAGTATTTATTCAGAAATTAATATTATAAATAGATTATGGGTTAGTTGTAATTTCTGCAGTGCAAGGTATGAAATCAAGATAGTGCTGCATACCTTATTTGGTAATTTTACATGTAAGGACCCATATTCATTTTCCTGCTCCAAAAATTTCCTATAGTAATTGTCGAAAGATATTATGTCTGTTTTATTCAGTCTTGGAATTTATTTTTCCTTCTTTAATTTTGTCACATTGGGAAGAGGTGGAACTCTGGTATTCTTCTCATTTGGTTGATTCTTATATTAAGTACTTTTTATTTTAATTTTGTCTTGTAGGTAATCTGGAAATTTTTAAGAACTGTACGTGAATGTTAAATTTTATTTATCCTTTTCATATTTGTGTAAATCCTCTCCAGAATATTCTTTAATATGTCAGATTGATTTTGTAATGTATCTTCTGCCTTCAGATGCAATTCTTTATTGTCCATCCTGTCCCCCTCCCCCCAATTGAATTCAGCCTGCAGGTATGATTTACAATCCTGTGACATTAAGAATTAGAAGCTGTCACTACGGTTCAAGGATTTTGTCATATTGGCTGAGGACTGTATATGGTTCCATTATAAGTGTTTTTTTAAACTTGGCCTTTGTTTAAGTGTTTGGGGGTAATTTCAGATGTTATTCTTGAAGACATCAACTTCAATGATTAGCACTTCCCTTATCTCATAATTTCCCATCAGTGGCACTATAGCCACTGCTGTCACATGTTAATACAATTTTTGTATTGTATGGAAATAATTCAGAAATGGAGGAACATGCATTGCCCAGGATATACGGTAGGCATTAAGTTACAGTTTTATGAAACTGTAATATAGACAGAGAGTTTCAGTAGTGGAGCTGGGATAGCTCAGTCTGTATAGTGAGTACCTATCGGCTTGACAACGGGTTCAATCCCCGACGGGGGCAGAGGATTTTTCCTCTAGCCGCTGCATCCAGACTGGCTCTGGGGCGCACCCAGCCTCCTGTCCAATGGGTACCATGGTCTTTTCCTGGGGCGTGATGCTGACCACTCACCCCCATCTAGTGCTGAGGTCAAGAAAGAGTAGGAGCTGTACCTCCACTTCCCACAAACAACCTACATGGCGTATAATGGGATGGCTTTACTTTTTTATTATAATATGCAGTAGTATTTAGTGGAGAGAATATAAGTTGAAAGTGTGGATCGGCCTACGTATCTTAGCTAAACTAAGCTAAGCTTTGGTTATGTAATTTAAAGTATTATATTAATTTCTAGTTATGTTGAAAAGATTGAGTTGTATTTGTAATAAATTGTCATCCGTAGTGCATCATGAAGGGCAGTGCTTATTTCATATTGTTGTACATGCTTTGAATATGTTATTTCTAAGCATGCTTTGGGAATTGAGTTTATCTGGTCTTTCAGGTATTACAAGTCCATTGTTTCTCAATTTGTTTTTATGATTTTTCATTTTCTTATGTGTTACTTGGGGGTTAAACTGTATTTGATACACAGGTGCAGGTGATGTGGTACCTCCAGAGGAACCAACTGTTAGAACCAGCACCACCACCCCCACCAATATCACCACCACCCCCACCCCCCCACCACTGCCACCACCCCCACCAAGATCACAACAACTACTCAGAAACCAACCCCAAGTCCAACACCAAAGCCAGATGTTGGCAAGTGGAATGTAACTGACTCTGAACGGAACGTAACTTGCATCTTGGCTGAATTGGCTATCCAACTTAATGTGACATATATTACTGTGGACAATCAGGTAAGCATTGTTTATGTACAGTATTGTACTCATTCATTAACTAATTCTGTGGAGCAGAGTTCTTGAGAAACTGCTTTTCAGCTAGACAACAAATTCAGTGTCTTCTGTGGAATTTGAATGTTTATTACTCTCTTAAGAGTTCACCAGTTATCCTTGCCTGAGCTTAATAAGTCTAATCCACTCATTTTAAGGTAAAATTAATAAACAGTAACAGTATTCATGGGAAATTTACAAGAAATGTGAGACATCTTACACATTCTTCTGTGATTACTTATAATAGATGTTCTTTTGTTTCGGTTTGTTCCTCCTTGTAAGGCATTGTGTGGCATAATTTAATAGAGATAGTATATTATTTTGTGAAAGTTGATATTGAATTGTTGAACATGACAGTCAAGGGAACTAGCAGATGTTGTGTGGGTCATGCCATGCATCATATTTTAGTGGAGTACCGTCTCATTACACATTTTTAGTGGGACAGACAAGAACTTCTTCATCGAGTAAATGTGTATCAAAGTGCATTGTTTCGAGGAGTTTTCCTGTTCTTAATTTTGCCTACTGAATATGTGTGCTTCTGTGAAAATAAGATTTGTGTATTCAGATTGCTTTGGTCATACAATTTTAGACTTTCTCTCTCGTTTCAGACAAGGTTTGGTATTTTGGATGTTCCCAAGAATTCATCTGCATCAGGGTTTTGTGGGAATGATTCTCAAGTGTTGAACCTTACATGGCTTAACAGTGATAAAGCAAATAATGTCTTGACCATCGAATTTGAAAAGAACAGCTCAAATAGCCGTTTCATGGTTGGAAGAATCAACTTGACTCTTACTCCAAGTGAAGAAACGTTTCCATCCATTAAAGGTTAGGTGAAACTTTTATATACAATTATAAGTATTGGTACTTTTGGTCGGTTCATTTACGAGGCGCGTCCTCAAAGTAAGTTTCCCTGGGGCCGTTTACAGAAACAAAACACAATTTCATGGAAATATTTATTGCAACAGATACAGCAAGTGTCCAGCTATTTTTCAACATATTCGCCACCGGAATTGAGACATTGGTCATACCGGGGGACCAACTTTTGAATACCTGTGTCGTAGAAGTCTGCCGCCTGGGATTGGAACCACTGTGTGACAACCATCTCTGTCTCTCTGTCATTCTCAAAACGCTGACGCTGACGCTGACCGGACAGGAATTTCTTGAGGTGTAGGAAAAGATGGAAATCACTGGGAGCGAGGTCCGGGCTGTAGGGTGGATGATTAAACACCTCCCAGCTGAACTCCTGCAGGAGACTTGCTGTCCGTTGAGCCGTGTGCGGCCTAGCGTTATCACTGACCGCACTTCACAGTCGGCGGGAGCTGGAATAAGAATCTCCATCTTCAACAGCTGCAACGATGCTACTGTGAGAACGCGGGAAGTACCGTTAGTGCATGCGCCATGCTACGTCATTGCTCTATCACGTACGCACAGTCGCTTCGCGCAATATAAGGTTTGCTAGCTGTGGGGCGAGTGGGAAACTTACTTTTGGGACGCGCCTCGTAATACACTAAAGAAACTTCTTTGTACTTTTAACACAGGAGTGATGTAGTTTGATTATTTTAACTGTTTATTTGAATTCCTTATGAAGTTTTATGAGTTCGCCACAAATATGCACTTTATAGATATTGAAGACAGAGCCAGGATTGTAATGAGTATTGCGTCTTTGTTTTTTAAGACTTCAGTAGAAGAGAAAAAAGTTTTAAAATTAATTTTTAAAGAAGCCATTAATATAAAATAATAATTAATAAAAATATCTGTACATACTGCAGCCATCTTTATGTTTTCTTTGAGTTGCCGAGTTAGAAATTTGGCTAATTAGTACGCATGTTTTTCCTGCCAATTTACTGTGGGTCTAATGAGATTTGGAAGAAAGGAAAAGGCAATGTGTGGGGATAAAGAAGGGAAACATACGTGACCACTGAAGGAATTGCGCCTCCCTCTGTGGATTTTCTTATAATCTCTCTACAAAATGCACATGGTGTCAAAATGCAAAAGACGTCAATCAACATAATGTGGAATGGTTTATTCTGCACTAAGTTACATTTAGTTTTATTACTGTCATTATTTTTGTTCAATTATTTTACAACAGTTCTTTCAGTTCCTGCAACTTTGTTTATGGCTCTAATGTGACTGTGAACTAATGGAAAATACCGTAAGTTAAGTGTGATGGAAAGTGGCGTATATCATTACCTTAATTTCTTTTTTGAATAGGAATGGACTGACCACATCAGTTACTCCCTTAGTATCAGACTGAAACTTTGGATTAAGTGTGCCATATACACTCATAAATATAGTATTTGGATGTTAGTTCACTTTTTTCAGTGCTTACAATCTCATTGGCATTGACACATTATCAAAATGGCGTCCATTTCAAGAATTTGACAGTGGATCTGTCGTGGCTTATAATTCTCGTCATATGTTTATGTACAGTGGTTCTGAGTCAGTACAGTGCCATTAATAAAAATTTGTGATCACATTCCCGGAACAGAATTTGCCGTTATGACTTCAGTTTTTGTTTTGTATGTACCAAAATGTGTGAGCCTTAAATCACTGGTTGTGTAGCTTCTTGTCTGTAGTAAGCATTTATACAGACTTGGCCATGGTTGTCATCGTGCACGAGTGTTTTGGACATTGATTGTGAATCATAACATTTGTTTTGTTCTGTTCTGTATTGAAATTTTCTTGAAGACTTTCAGTTGTGTGCTGGTGGTGATAATAATCAGAATAATTTTGACAATTTATGAAGATTTCTGTCTTCTGGGTTGTTGCGCTGTGTAGTCTGGTCGATGTTTACCAACGTTTTCTGAAACGTCATGTCTAGGTTTTCTTCATCTTTTCCATTTTCTGACTTGATATTTTTTCTTTTAGACAAGAATGTTATCAGCGTGTACAATAATAAGACTGAGTTTTCAACTCCTCTGAGTAAATCTTACCGGTGTGCAAAGGAACAGTCATTCAATCTTGCTCAGAATGGAATTAATGAGACAGTTGGTACTATTGAACTAAGCCATGTTCAACTGGAAGCTTTCCATTTGAAGATGGATGATTTGTTTGGTGCAGGTTAGTATCTTATTATACGCATCTGATACAAAATTTTATTGGTAGAACTACCTATTCGCAACATTTGTAAAATGCTAAGTTGTTAATTTTTATTCAGTAGTTTTGAAAGTATCTGAAATGTAAGTATGGAACTGGGTTTGCAGTCAAGCAGGAAATATGTGCATTTGCTTACTTATTAAAATTGTTGTTTTGTATTGGTATTTTTTCAGTTTTAAGCCATTTTATGAAGAAAATATTTTGTTGTAAGGTGTAGATTTATTACTGAACCTTGATTTAAATGCCAAAATTTATTGGTTAATGTTCAAAATGTGTGTTATATGGTCTCTGAGAAGTTAGTGTTGATAACTCAAATCTGTGCCATGATATTCAAATTCACGATATTGTGACACTCTGACTAGTTTTAAATGTTCTTTGTATAGTCTGCTTTAGGTTAGGTTAGGCACAGCAGTTGACATCAGTTCCACTATGATCTGTGTGAGCTTTTCTAGGGGTATAGTCCGGCTAAAGGACTTAATAAATTTCTGAACTTTGCATCAGGTTTATCTGAAACTGCACCGTTGCATCTGCCAGAAGTTTTATTTATAATTCAGGGAATCTCATTAATTTTTGTTCTTGCCTACCTGATTGTCTTGGGACACTTCATTATGCACTAAAAATGTAGAAAAATTAATTGTGTGGTGGAACTGAGATAACTTGTTATCTTTCTCCAGCTGAAGATTGTGAAGGAGTTAGCAGTCCAGATATAGTTCCAATTGCCGTTGGTTGTGCTCTTGTCGGTCTTGTGGCGATTGTCTTGATCGCATATTTGGTGGGCCGACGCCGCTCTCAGGCCCGCGGTTACCTCAGCATGTGAGTGAAATAGGGTGATGAACGAGAGAAACAAAAAGGAGGAGGAGGAGGCGGACTGAAAGCTATTACATATAACCTGCTGCTCATTGTTTAAGTGCTCAGTGAATGAGGCAGTAAAAGATAGGTTATTGACACATTTAAAATATATACCATAGGCTATAAATATTTTACTGGAAAATTATGGCAGTAGTTAATAGTCTCATTTTGGGATTCCTTATTTTCAAACTTAGACTCACAATATAATTTTTACATTCAGTGTTTTCTTTCTGTATCTGTTTGTAACATGTTTAATCACATGTTTGAGCCAGTTGTCTAGTCACTTAAAAGCTGACATTTAAGTAGGTGCAATTTTGATTTAAAATTTGAGGGAAATGTGATGGAAGAAACCTCTGTATGTACCTGTCGTGACTGTGTCAACTTCCTGGTGCAGTGAGAACAACAGGTACTGTAATAATGTTTGTTGGTAAACTGTGAGTTTGTTGCATCTGGTACTAGCTCAGATCTGTGATTCAGGTGCTTTTCTTAGCTTGTAATTATAGTATATAAAAATTTCAAAAACAAGTTTCATGCTTCAGTACCTAATAAAGTGAGACTTCTTCAAGGCTTCTTTGCTATTTCAGAGTTGATTTTATTCAAAGAAATTAGTGACATTGTAATTGTTGCTTAAACATAATATGCTTTTTGTGATTTCTGTTGCATTGTTTCAATATGTCCTTTTCTTTTAGAATAATTGGTGAAAGGTATGTATGCGCTATTTGATAATAAGAGATGGTTCTAGTCCTTTGCCTCCTTCCTTCCATTCATTAATTGTGGAACGTTGACTAAGGAAAATACGAACTGTAATTGCTGAAAACCATGACAGTTGCGTACTTGATTACCTAAAATGAAGGACAAGAATCATCTTTTGGAGCAACTTCATTAGCTTGTTTTTTGTGAGGGATATCGTACTAGTGCTTTAACATAGAAGAGTGGACCGCATTTGGTGAATGATTTGTCAGATTTCCTTCGCTCGAATGTTATTTTTTCATTTTACATATGGTATTGAAGCAGAATGTATTGGAATTGTTGGTGTAAATTTGTTTTTCAGGGGAGTAAGGACCCTTGCCCTGCATTGACATTATATAAACTTGACCCTCTTTGTACAGGATGTACTATTTCAGAATAAATTCTTTTATGCGGTTTGTCTCGATTTATTCTCAGGCAATATACTTTACGCTTACAAATGATTTAAGCAATGCACAGTTTGTAAATATGCTCCATGTTTTGGACACATGAATGAATGTTTTCATGAAGGCATGATATTTACTCTTAAATACATGGAGTTTTCAACATGAGTTCAGCTGTTCTGTTTAGTTCTATGAAGTAGTCAAGGTAATATATTAATTTACAGAGGAAGGGTCTCAGCATCATGAATTCTGTCATTCTGTGTGGTAGACCTGAAATTTTGCTGTTTACCGTCACACCTAAGAGTCCATGTGAGCAATCCTGTTTTTGATGAATCGTGTTGAATAATCAAATACAAATCTCCCGCCTTCCCCTTTTCTGCATGACTGTTCAATTTGTGTTAAACTCTTGTTAAAAATTTAAAAAATGTGTAATGTAAAGAAGAATATTTTAACATTATATACCCCATTTATTACTGGGTCATTCCATACCAAATCAAACAAAATGTAATTGTCGGCCGTACCATCATCAGTTTTTGTGATTTGTAATTTCCAACTAGAAGTCCATGAAGCAAAAATGTCCCCAGATTTCAGTTTTTCATTGCTACTAAATCCCTTGGTATTAATTGATGAAATAGGCAGTTTTTAAAGTCAGAAACAAATATATGTAGTCTTTTTTCTTTTCCTTCCCCTCAATACACTAATTCTTCAAGTTGTACCTCGTTTGTTTAGTTGAAGCCTGTTAAGAAGTTTGTACTTCAACCAATAAGTTTATTTTCACATATATATACTTTTATTTTGCTTGCTACATATTTTGGTCTGCTAAGGACCATCTTCAGGTAATATCTTATTGACTGTGATTTTACTCTTAAATATTGAAAATTGAATCTTATTAATTTGTTAAAATTTCAGTAATATAAAACATAACAAAACATAGCAAAACATTAAAATAATTTAACAGATGTGTGTTGTACCAGTCCAGGTTCGGAGTTCGGATCCCGAACTGGTTGCGCCTTGAGATGGAAGTTAAACTGGACGTTTGGTAATTGATCCGGTTTATTGAAGAAGAAGGGGGTGCAATTAAGACGAAATTTGGCCCACCTTACTTAATCAAAATTAATTATTTTATATTTTGGCAACGTTTTCAAGTTACCGTGTAAGGGAGGCTACAATTTGCTGTCGCTTTGCCGACATCCTTCCTGACTTATTGTCTGGTGCGTACATGACATCTACAATGGGTTTGCAGTTGTAAAAGGTTGTTTCCTTGCTGAAATTTTAATCCTTTGCAGACGATAAAGGTACGTCACTAGAAAGTTTGCAGAAGGTAGGGCTTAGGTCAGTGGGATTGGAATGCAGATTTTTGCGTGACCCTAATGTCAAAGGGGTGATATTGTGGGGAGTGAATCGGATTGCCTTGTTCAAATTCAGAATTCTGCACGTGACCGTAATGTCAAAGGGGTGATATTATGGGGAGTGATCAGATTGCCTTGTTCAAATTCAGAATTCTAGTAATGTCGAGAAAATGGCGCCTGTGCTACGCTTTGGGCAGTGGGGTCATTTGGCTCGCTTTCTTCAGCGCGAACAGACGTGTTGTACTCGCAAGCAAAGTTTATCAGTGGTAAAGCGATTAGAATGCAACCACAAGGAGAACATGCAAAATTTAGTTGGTACAGGAAAAAAAAAAAAATATATATATATACTAACATCTGAGTCGTCTTGCTGTGAAGTGGAGTGTAACATATAGATTCCATATGTGTGGTGTATGCAATAATAAATCTTCATCAGAGCGTAAATGGTGATCGTATATGTAACAGGTGCATGCATAGGCAACCCTGACCTGCTACCCCCTTCCCCCCTGTATGTTCCCTGAGAGCAAGGATTAAGCTCAACAACCGACCTACTGCCTGAACTGGGTATCTGAGTGGAGGCCAGTTACAGTGTGTTTGAAATGCTTAAAACTGGAACTTCATTCACATTTCATTTGTGTTCAGTGCCAAGAAACAAAAATCCCTGTTTACATTAATTACTATGCATTTCTTGTATGACTGATGTTGGAGTTCCATCTCATGTGAATTCTTCATACATCAAGAATCAATTTCTTATGTTGTGGGGCCTAGTAAGGTGCCATGTGGGCCAATACTTTGAAGTTGCCACCTGGATTCAAGGGGCAAACAATCTTGGATGTGGATGTTTATCTGTTTTAGGAGATTGAACAGAGTTTGTTGGTTGCAGATGGAAATTTGATCTCTTGAAAACGTGAATGTTGTATCAGTTATTTAATGTAGAGTACACACCATGGAATGGCGTCTCTTGTTAGTATCAGATACCAAAGAAGTATATTTGTAAATGTGTGGAGTACTTCATCTCGCTGAATATCAACTGAGAGGTAATATTTTTAGGCCATTGTGTTAAATCAGCATCTACACTGTCAACTGACAGCAAATCTCTACAATCAACTTCAATCTGACATTGACTCTGTACAAGGTTGGTGTGCTGCTAACTTCATGAAACTCAATATTAGTAAAAGCAGAATAATTTCCTTCTCGAGAAAAACGTCTACATTGATCTGCGATTATAAACATTTTCGGTCCTCTGTAACACGTACCGACTCTATTAGAGACCTGGGAATGTTTTTTGACTCTAAACTTTGATTTCACAGCCATGTGGACTGTGTTTTTACAGTGTTTTTGATTGTTAGGTCGTGTTTGCACATTAACCTTTATATTCTCTTCTTTTGACTACTGGTATATTTTATATGTTACCTTAGATCGAAGCTTGAGTACGCCTCAAGTCATTTGGAATTCTATTATGACTACTGGTGCACAACAAACTTGAATGTATCCAGCATAAGCTTGCAGCCCTTTGCTGCAATCATTTCGTGCCCCATGTGCATTACAGCTATGCTAATGCTTTACAGTATTTAAAGCTCCAAACCCTGCATAAGAGGAGTTATTGCAGTGATGCACTCACTGTTCCTGATGCAAGTTTTCTGTGGTTTGGATTTCTGCCCTTTCCTTCTGGAATCTGTCGACC